TTATATTTAATTTAATCCATTAATTAAATTATGATATATCAATTATGATAATTATGATAATTAATAACATATTAATTACACAATAATATCACACCCCACTCTACACTCTTAGTAACTTAACCTAATTTGCTAAAATAAATAATAATTTTAATATTCATAATAATACAAATACCTACCCGAGTTATTTTCCTAAAGAGACCGAACATATAGTTAGTATTGTTGTCGTGTACATATAATAGATAGATATCGTCATGTATATTTTTTAATAATTTCTTTTTGTATTTACATTTTCTTTAAAATTTTATAATTTGATTAGATTTTCTTTCTATTTGGTAATTTATATTTATAAATAAAATAATAATAGTAAGCAAAGTTAAAAAAAATTATTTTTATCAAATGAAAAGGGAAAAAACCTAAAAATTCGCCATCATGTACATATAATAGATAGATGTCGTTGTTTATCTTCTCTGTTAATTTTGATGTAAACATGTTATGCTATTTTAGTTTGGATTCATTTATTTAAATTTTATAGTAATGTAAATCTTCATGCATATTTGTTTTTAAAAAATTTAGTAGTAATTTTAAAACTAAACTAATGCTACATTAAAAAGTCTATATATATATATATAATATATATAATATTCTCATCTACCTCCTATGTCAGCTTCCTTTATAATCAAATAAAATATAAAAATATCAAAGTTCTTCTTCTCATGTAATCTTCTTCTGATTATTTGGCTTATGATCTCTCTTTTTATTTTTTACATAACTATAGTTTAAATGCTTTTATAATCTGAATTGAAAAATCTTTTCTAAATAAAGTTTAAAACAATATATCATAGTTTCAAATTAAATCTTTTAATTTGATATTTTGAATAGTTTAACTTGATCATTTTTAAAATTTAAGTTACTTTTAGGTTATGATAAAATATAAGGTGAGTAACAAATGCTCATAATTTTGTATTACTTTGTTTAGATCTTATTCAGTTCTATATTTTCCAAATATACTTTTCGTTTATTTTTAATGTTTACAATGTACACAAAATATGTTTTATACTAATTTTGCGATCGCATTCAATTTTGTTTGTGCGTTAGTTATTTTGTTTAAAACATAAAATTAATATTATTTTGTAATACACATAATGAATATAAACATATTATTTTGTTTTAAAATTATTTTCAAAACATATATTAACACTTATACACATATATAACTTAATATAATTTTTAATTAATATTTTATGTATAACCCACGTATCGCGTGGGCAACTTTCTAGTTAACAATATAATAAAGTTTTGTTGTTGATTTAAAGTAAAGTAATGAAAGTGTCACGAAATGAGAAGTTGTGGAAAGATACCAAAGCAATATCATCGTCATGGTTTGGTTTAGTTTAGGCAGCCCCTTAATTTCAGCTTTTGACCCACCGACGTTTTCTTTTTCCCATAGGTTCTTCTGATGATGATGATGATGAAAGCCCCCCATGTCTATATAACTATCTCGTAAGCACAACATTTATATATTACTAATTACTAATGTAACATTATAGTCAAACATGATTTCAATATATTTATTTATAGTGACTTGAACTTATTTTCCATTTATGTATATTTATGTATTTCCATTTTATTACGAAAGATTGGTAAAAATTAGTCTACATAGAGAGGAAAGAGCCCTTCGTCGAGAGGTTCTTTGAATACTACTCTCTAGGAGCATCAACAGAGCCGGCTTACACCGCATTCACCACCACGACTAGTTCAACGACTACAGAACAAAATTGATAGTCGTGCTAGCTAATACATAAAGCAAGCCAGCACCAGAAACTACAAAGCCATAGAAAATAAAAAGTCTACAGTAGTTTCCATAATAGTTTTTTTTTTATTGACAAGATAAAAACTAAAACATTGCAGTTCATATAATAGTTTCCAAATTAAAAAAAAAGTCTCGCACCACATAATGTCGACACACAAAGTCACAAACCCATCCCTGGTCCTTCGATTTCTCCTATGTCCTACCCTTATTATTCTTATTACATATTCTTTCAAAGAGAAAAAAAAAACACACTGAACAAGTCACCTCCTAGACTTAATTCATGCGCAGACATTTACATGTCTGTATCTTCTTTGTCCACTCAGCTCCACAGGCGTAACAGAACTCGTGTTTGCATCTGTGAGTAACAACAAGACAAAAATCAAATCAAATATTTCGCTAAAAATACAACTACAAAACAATATGAAGTAAAAACTGCAAATAGCTAGTGAACCTGCAGATCATATAGTTGCAACCATAAGCTCGTTCGATGATAGTGCTACACACTCTGCATTTCTTCAATCCCTCACTCTCAGCCACAGACTCAAACTTTGCATGATCAGATGTTAGATAAGCCTGTGTCTTTCGAAATTCATCACATGTCATGTTATCGTGCCAATCAAAGTTGCAGTTTATGCAGAACAACGTGCCACACACCATGCACTTTCTGGCTCCCAACTGCACGGCACCGAGAAAGGATTCTTCTGTGTGTTTAAGGAGTTTTTGTTTCGCCATCAAAGCGGAACATGTGGGGTTCGGACAATAGACTCTGTCTGCAATGTCGATCTCGCTCTCAATCTTGCGCTGGTCAATCAGACGGAGTTGTTCAGGATCCAGAATACCTCCGCATGCCTCTCTCTTGATCTCTGAGTTGCAATCTTCCATTGGGCAAACTGCTGTTTTCCCACGTACTAATGTATTTCTGAGGACTTCCTTCATGCAGACGTTGCAGAAAAGGTGGAAGCATCCAGATACCTGGAACATCATATCAGACTCAAAGTCTCCATAGCATATTGGACAAGTCTCTTCACGCGGTTTGATCTGGGAATTAGAAATAGCAGCTCCTGTTAGAGTTGCAAGATAGCAAAAAGTTGCAAGATAGAGTAACTTGTTGAGAAAGAAAGAAAGAAAGAAAGAAAAGACAAGATTATTCAGGATACGATTAAGTTGATGATGATTGATGAGTAAAAGGATTTATATATAAATAGTACCTGACAGTTTCCATCGCTTATCATCTTACTCTCGGTGTGACCTTCACACTCCAAACTAATAAGAAAGAAAAAAGTATGTAGTCGAGACTATATATATCGGGCAAAACATTGAACAAGTTTATATGAATTGAATGGATCGATACATGTTCTGAAGTCTTTCGTGATTATGTTGTCTTTCGTGATTATGTTGTCCATCATAACTTAGATCTTCGATGGAAAAAATTGAAGCTAATGAAAACTCAAGTGAACCTCTCGAAAACACACAATTGAAGTCATCGATGCGTGATTGATGGACAATAATTAGTCCGAAATTCTCTATAAATTCAGCTCTAAACTTGGAAATATGGTTCTTCTCCTTCTCCAGCACCCACATATTCCAGAAAATCTCTCTATCACTTATTTTCCATTAAAACACTCTCTGATCTTGTTTTTTGCTTTTCGTTTTCCTCTTTAATCATCCATTTAACCAATTATTTTTTGGATATTAGCTTCCATTAAATGCTTTCTGTCGCCGTCAGAAACATATCCCACACAAATTGCTCTCTTTTTGACTAAGGGTAATTTCGTCCATTTGCCTATAACCTTTACATTCTATGTGGCACTCCTTAAAAGCCCTAGAAGAAACTGGCACTTTCAATTATTTTGAGCCAAAAACTGGCGTTGTGGATAATAATCTCGTTGTGACCTTCACACTCCAAACTAACAAGAAAGAAAAAAGTATATAGTCTTGACTATAGATATCGGGCAAAACATTGAACAAGTTTATATGAATTGAATGGATCGATACCTGTTCTGAAGTCTTTCGTGATTATTAAGGTCATCCAAACACATCGACTTAATCAGAGTATTAGGCATTTTTAGAGATTTGGATCGATCGATGAGATTGATGCAGAATCTCCCTCCTCTCTCAAACACGATTAGGGCTAGATGTATGGATAGTTAAGTTTTTTTTTTCCCCACTGTTTATGGTCTTTTTATATTATGAAAATCAGAAAAGGAAAAGGAAAAGGAAAAGGAAAATTTCAGAAAGTCGGGTTTTTAAAAGGAAAGAAAAAGATTAGTATTGTAAAAAAAAAAACATGATATAAAACAGAATACAGTATAACTCAAATCTAAATTGAATTTAATATAGGCATCTGTGCAATTATATATCTGGTGAACCAAATTCTTTATTCATCAATTGGTGAGCATGCATGCATATCAAATCTTGTAAGACTATTTTAGAGATATGATGCCTTCTACCTGTGCAACGGCTCCCATATACACCTTCAAACGTACATGTGTGATTTGTGTTTTCGAGATTCATATTTTTTTTACCTGTAATTTAATATATAATTAGTCTTACCCTAAATGGATACATTTCTATTAATTTTAGTATGAGATTCTAATAACCACATGTTACAAAATTATGTGTTTTGACTGGTAAGCGATGATTTGTATATATATCTATTGAAATTCATATTTGTATATATGTCCTATAATATAGCAAAACAAATGACTCTGAATATAGCAAAACAAATCATCCTCTAATCTTGTTCAGGTAACATGATATCAGAATAGTGAAAATGGTGATTTCTGTTCTTCTTCTCCATCTTCTCCTTCTTCACCTTGGCCTTCCTCTTCTCCTCCTTGTCCTTTTTCATCTCCTCCTTGTCTTTTTTCTTCTCCTCCTTGTCCTCCTTCCTTTCCTTCTCCTCCTCCTCCTTTCTTTCCTTCTCCTCCTCCTCCTTTTTCTTCCGCTCCTTCTCCTTCTTCCTTTGTAGCTTCGTCGAGGCAGAACCTAAAGACGAAGATAAACCTGAACCTGAAGGTAAGGTATATACATATTTACATACTATATATGTAGAAGGAAGAGAAGGTTAACCTGTGTTTTTGTGGATGGAGTTAAAATGGATCCCTACGAGATAGCTCAAATAAATGACTATGTCGGGTTCTTTTTGAGACTTGGGCAAGAACTCCATGAACGGAGTAAGTTTGATTGATGTAATGAGTACTATTTTTGACTGAATACAAATCAGCAGCGGCTTTTAATGTGACTTCATCTCCCCATTCGGAGTTCTTGGACATGTTCTTGACATACTCGGAGAAGTTCATATTATTAACAAATTCTTTGTAAATCTTTGGATGAGATTTAAGCTGGTGAGGAGAAAAGAGTCATCAATCAATCAATCGTTCAATCATCATCATCACTAATACACGTAAAACACACAAAAAAAAAAAAAAAAGACAATCTGCATGCACAGCTATAGGAAAAGTTGCAAGAATATTGATTTACCTGTTTTACGATTTCTTGTCTAACAAGTTTATAAGAATCGGAGGTTTTATAAAGTTGATCAGCCAAAGCACGGAACTGAAATAGCATTGACAAAAACAAGAAAAGGGTTATTCATAAATCATAATATATACGATCAAAAGTTATATACTTTTTGGAAACATTCATTACCTGGCAATTTCCATCGCTTTTCATCTTCTTTTCGGTGTAACCTTCCCACTGCAATCTGAAAAGCCGGAAAAAAAAAACATAGATATAGCTGAGATATACAATCCGACAAACAAATTTCGAACAAGAAGAATCGATCGATACCTATGCTCAAGTATTTCACGATCACTAAGATCGTCCAAACACAGCGACGTAGTCTGAGTGTTAGGCATCTTCTAGAGCTGGGATCGATGGATGATTGATATCTTAGGGGATATATTTTACCGTACGGGTTAATTGTGATTGATTTGATGGTCCTTCTCCTTTTATATATATAGTACAAACAATAACGAGAAAAAAGGAAAATTACCGAAAAAAAAGAAAAAGTTTGGAAAATCTAAATTTTTTTAAAAATAAAGAAAAAAAGAATTCACGTTTGGTATGGTTTTATTTACCTCTTTGATGTATTCACTGTCTTCTTTTTTTTTTTTGGTCAACCAATATTCACTGTCTTCTTAAACTATCATTATCCTTACCAAAAAACAAAAAACTATCATTATCATCCCAATATCTTAAATTTGTATTTATAAATTTTGCTTACTAAGAGCATGTTCATTGGTGACACCCATTAAGGGTATCTAAAACAATTAATTATTAAGTTTTATGTAAATTTTATTTTTTAAACATTTTTAAGTGATTACCTATCCAATGGAGATATCTAGTATACGTGTCTAAAAAATAGTATTTATACATTTTTAAAACATAATACAAATCTAAATTATTCATTTTTAAAATATTTTATTCATTTTAAAAAGTATTTACACATTTTTAAAACATAATAAAAATCTTAATTATTCATTTTTAAAATATTTATTCATTAAAAAAATATTTATACATTTTTAAAACATAATACAAATCTTAATTATTCATTTTAGAAATATTTTATTCATTTAAAAAGATATTTATACATTTTTAAAACATAATACAAGTCTAGATTATTCATTTTTTTCCCAACCAATAGAAATTGTCCACGTCATCGTGTCTTAAGATGACAAATGTGTTTTATTTAGGACACAAATCTTAATTTTTAGACCAATATTTACATTAAATTTTATTATTATACACAAAGTTCCACTTTAACACACCCTATAAATCACCATGGACATGGTCTAATGCGTATTATTAATTTATTCTTATTAGACACGTACGTGTTCTCTACAAAATTACGACTTCATTATGGGAAAAGAGTCAATTCAAAGCTTTTCCTATAAACAAACACGCAAACAACTCCAAAACTGAAGTGAAGAGAATTCAAAGACAAAAGACAAGGCACTTACTGAAAAGTCAAGAGATGTCTATTGCCTAAAGCTAGCTTTACACTATTGTTGACAATTATTCATTACGATAAACAAAAGGTTTTAGCAAAACAATCTTGCTGTTATGCTTTGCTTCCACATCAGTAAAGTAGCATCAGAGTTCATATGAAACGGTCAAAATAAGGCACGAGGAAAGCTTACTACTAGCATTTGGTTTGATCCTACCTATGTCCTCCTCCTCACTTGCCTCATATTTGTAGTGTCACACCCTAATACACTGCTCGCACTTCTTTTCTTGTTCGATTGTCCACTCGTCGAGCTCTTGTCTGCTGCTGCAACAGTGCTCAGCAACTCAGATAACAACGTGGGACAGCTTTGTTTCAAGTGCTTGAACCCCTCAGACTTCATTACAGCTGCACAAAACAACATCATTTACTTTTTAGTTTTCCTGGATTATCTTCATCGATAATATCATCCAACTAATAACACTCTGTTACACACAGACAAAAGTCCACCATGTTTGAAAATAACATAACATTCACCAGTTTTAATTTTAGATAGAGAAAGAAAGAACTACATATTTTGTTGAAGTTCTGAAAACGATTGTACAACTTTAGGTGTGAATAGCAGCATTTACGTGCGACCAGGGCATGTATAATCTCTATCTTCCAGAATGCAAAATTACCCGTTGGCTGAGCATTGTTAACTTAAAACTAGATTGTCAAAAAAAGAATCAAAATATCTCTATATATCGCACCTAGTTGAGGATGATAAACCTCAAGCCGTCTAATCAAGCATCGAGTCTCCTATATACAAATCGAACATAAGAACAAGAAAGTTAAATAAGTATACTAGCAGGATAAGCTATAGGTAATATAATACTAGCAGGATTAGCTATAGGTATCACACACAAAAGAAGAATTAAATCACAAAACTTCC